CTGCCTCACAAATGGAAATGTGGTGTTTACCCTTGTTGCACCGCTTACAAATAAATCTAAACGAATCTAAACAAATAAAACATCTCTCTTTTTTCCGTAATATGTCTTTCCGAGAATGGTGATTCGAGACCTTACTACACCTAGATGGAAGATGTCCCCCCTCATTACAATATATACAGGGGGTTTTACTAGTTTGACTGAATAATCCACTTGCTGTATAGGGTTCCCTTTTCCTGAAATTGTCAGATCTACCATCTGATTTATTACTCAATGAGAAATTACAATCTTCTTGAGCACGAAGCTCATTGTTAAAAAATTCCATAACCTTATCTAAGTTCCACACTTTACCACAAAACTGTCTCGAAATAATCATATTAATCTCATCGGGCAAGCGGTCCTTTAAAATTGGAATGAGAAGAGAGCCATACCCACTGGTGTCAAGCTTAAGAGATTTCAAGTTCCTCATACAGTTTTCAACATGACTGTACAAAATCCTTAACCCCTTAATGTTATCAACTGACTTAATTTTATTAATTTTAAGTAGAGACTCCATATGTGCAGAAATGAGCACCTGCTCATTCCCAAATCTATCCTTTAAAACCTGAACTGCCTCCTGATAATTATCTGAAGTTAAAGTCAACCCTGAAATAGCCGCAAGAGCTTTCCCTTTCACACAACCTTTTAAATAATTGAATTTATCAATATCACTTATGTTTATATTACTGTGGATCGACACTTGATACTGATCCCAGAACTCCTGCCAATCTAAGGGTTCCCCCGTAAACTCTGGTAATGCTAATTTTGGCAGCTTACAATGCGCAGGACTTCTATTTGTGCTTAAACCGGCTGCACCTAAGGAATAACTTGCGCTATTAATATTACTTTGCCCTTGCTTAATTTCTTCAAGTTTCAAATCCGCCTTTGCCAAAACTTGGTGACAAGGTTCTAAAGCTTTCATGTGACGAATAATTTCCGGCTCAATGTCCTTTGGATCTATCAAGGATAATATTTCATTGTGCACAGTCGCCAATTGTTCGATGATACTAGCCACATTGTTTCTCAACCCAAGGAGTTTAGATTGCTCGCAATCACCGCTTTTCGAAGAAACATACTCGTTTAATTCACTTAAAAGAGTTTTCAAATACGCGCCGAGACCAAGGTGTCTGCCTTTAGCCCTTGCTAATTTTTCCTCCATGACAAATATGAAATATGAGATATGAGATACCGACTACACAATACACACTGTGGACGCGTTTTTACAATACAACGCTACGTATGACAATTAGACACAAAAAATATATAGAATTTCTAACATTTACTATATCATGAAACATATACACTTCAGAACAATGCACAACCCCAAAGGGATCTCTCAAAAGGAAAGAATTTACCTCTAACCACGATATCGACCAACCGACACGCTCGCGAATGACTCACAGACTCGTGTTCACTGTAACACTGTCGTCGACTTAAACGCACAATTATTGATACCTCGTATTCCGTATGATGTTCTGCCGTGTCCACTATCGGGCTCCATGTAAAAAGCACTCTCACACTTGCTTTTTATATAGTTATTTTAATATAAATAACGCAACATAAATTTACATGTTGTCCGTTTTATCTCAACTAACTTCCGATTGCCCTACACGTGTCTTTTTAATCGTCTCACCACGTGACAGCTCACGTGATTATAACAGAACCAATAATGTTATTAAAAGTAAATAAATGTATAATGTAAAACGTCATGCACTAGATTAATGTTTTCTACAAGGCTAGTTCCTTTAATACCATATAATTCAAGCTTTGATAAAAGAATATGATGGTCGACAGTATCAAAAGCTTTTTTAAGGTCTAGAAATAAAACTCCGCTAAGTAAACCTCTGTCCATATTGAACAACCATTCATTTGTAGAACTAAGCAGTGTAGTTTCAGTAGAATGTTGATGACGGAAGCCAGACTGCTGTTCCACAAGAATGCCATTCAACCTCAAGAATGAACTTAGCTGCAGGTATACCAGTTTTTCGACAGCTGAAATAACAGATATTGGCCTATAATTTTAACAGTCTGCCTTATTTCCTTCTTTAAATATGGGGGTCACCTTTGCTAATTTCCAATCATTAGGGAAAACTGCTCTTTGAAGGGATACATTGAATATGTTCACTAGTGGTCCTGGCACAATGTTAGATGCATCTTTTAGTAACCTTATACTAATACCATCAAGCCCTGGAGATTTCTTAGTTTTAATTTCATTGAGTGCATCTATTGTTTCTTGGAGTGTAATGCTTGTAAAGTTGAATATACTACCATCAAGAGGAGTCACAAAGTTCATTGGATCAATGCAGTTACCTGTGATCTTGTCAGACAACGTACTGCCAATTGTGGAAAAATATTGATTGAAGGCATCTGCAATTTTATCATCGTCAGTAATAAGTTGGCCATTTATATCTAGTTCTTTAACCTCTGAAGTTTTAGGCTTTTGTTTAATAATTCGTTAATAGTTCGCCAACTTTCTTTGCTATTTTTAGCATTGCTTAGTTTATCTCCAAAGTATTCTTGTTTAGTTTCTTTTATGAGATTATTTAACTTGTTTTTACATCTCTTGTAAGCCTTATCATAATACGCAGATCTTAATTTAATCGATTGCTTTTTAAGGTAATCCCTACGATAGCTCATTTGCTTAATTTCATTTGTCAGCCACGGTTTATATTTACTCTTGACACGACGTTGTCTGATTGGTGCATGTTTATCTGCGACGCTCAAAAACTTATTTTTAAAATCGTTCCATAAGGCATTTGGGTCAGTTAAAATAGCTGAATCCAAGGGCAAACTAAAAACCTCACTTAGATCGTTGTTAAACTGGTTAACATTATAATTTTGATAATGTTTAGTAAAGACAGTTTTTGGTGGCGCCTTAGGAATGCTGAGCTTTCGACACAGATAAACAAGACTATGATCACTGATACCAAGGTGTATTACTTCTGTATCTAATATTTTATCATCACCATAATAAGTGAGGATAACATCCAGTAGTGATGCTGTTGTACTAGTAATTCTCGTGGGACACTGTATGTGTTGCTGTAATTGATAAATGTCAAACAGGTCAACTAGTCCGTCTTCTCCCTCAAACTTTCCCGCGTTATTGCACCTCGCGCTATCCCTCGGACTCTAGAGAGACGGACTTGATTCAAGTCTAATCGACGTGGCGCGTGCGTGCGAGTAACCCAACATTTTGAAAAATTCAAAATAAATATTTCTACTCTGTGCCGTATTCAAACGAAACTTTGTACATGAAAGCGCTTGAATACAAGACATATTTTATTCACATTGACTCTAAACAGATTCTGCAGAGTTTAGAAGATATTCAAGTTTTTTTCTCGATATGAAATACAGAATGTTTGGCCAGGCGGTGAGTAAATATATAATTGTTTTGGTTTTCAGCATTTGCCCCCCTCCGCGCATGATTACAATGGTGCTTTTCGTTTTAAACGGGGGGGGGGGAGGGGTAAATGCTCGCTGAGATATTTACAATTAGAAACAATAAAAATCGTAAAAATTTGAATTGGGGCGTGATGCGAAATTAACCCATTTACGGGCAGTACTTTGCTGGCAGTGCAATTGTCTATACAGTAAATACTAAAGTAGATAGACAGTAAATACTAAAGTAGGGTGCATTGCCTGCATGGATTAATAAAAGACATTGGCAGATGTGTTTGTTAAACCATTTACTGACAGTACTCTACCACTGACAAGTAAAATCGTCTGGCGTTACACGGTGTAAATTTGTCTGGCGTTAGTCAGATTTAATACTGAAAGTAATGTGCATTGCCAGCTAACATGTTAGTAGACCTTAATATCCACTTTTGACCCAATGGAGAAACAAATTTGTGCAGGAAACATAGGGGATATAACTTCATGTGCAGGCCTGCCATGCTACTAATCATGAATCGTGGAAATGAGGCTATTGGGTTAAAAGTAAACTTCCGTTTAGAGAATTGTCTAGAAGTACAATCTTTTGGATTCAGTTCACGTGGCAAAAAGGCAGCACTTTCCTTGCGACAGTAACTCATACAATCAGGAGCAAAAATTATTGAGACAACCGCATAAATGCCCCCCTCACCCCCAATTCAATGCGATTGTCTGAGATGGGGCTGTCTGGGGGTTAGCTGTCCAAAATTTGAAATTTTGCCAAAATCTAGCGATCAAGATGACATGAGATTGACATATTTCAATCAATTAACCGAAAGGTTTTTGTCGCCCAAAATGTAGAAATTCTGCAAGGAGGCTGCGCGGG